GCGATCTCTTGCTCGGCGCAGCGATGAAGAGATCGCCTTTGATCTCAAAATGAGCAACAAAGTGCTCTACGTGGAGACAACTGCAGTACGATGCGAAGAGGGAGCCATAGACGTGATCATGGCGGCTCTCGAGGTGGATGTGACTGTAAATTAAAATAGAGACGTGCAAGTGGGGTCTCTAGTACACTTTCACCAGCGATTTGGTCACCTCTCATATGACACAATCGTGCGCATCGCGCACGATCCTGATTCGGGAATCGAGCTCACGGATCAGCGACTCATGGCGTGCGTCACTTGCATGGAAAGAAAGCAGACAGAAAATGCGCAGAGCCAAAAGGAAACTGGAGCGACCTCGCCCATAGAGCGAGTTGGGGGGGGGGTTATCTGCTCTGACCTCAAAACTTCCACTCATTCCTAGAGACAGGCTTGAAAATCGCTATCTATTCAATTTTGTGGATCACAAAAGCAACTACTGTCGGGTGTTTTTAGCGAAGACTTAGGATCAAGCAGCAAAGAAATTTGAGCATTTCTTAGCGTTTTTTAAGAGATGTTTCGGATGCAAGATATTGGTTTTGCTAACCTATGGCGGGGGGGGAGTACCGTGACGTGGACTTGTTCTGCAAGAGAATAGGGGTTGCACGTCAAATTAGCAAACCAAGAAATCAAGCAAGTAACGGAAAAGCAGAGCGGATGCACCGTACCGTCCTAAACAAGGCACGGTCAATGATCTTCGCGTGCCATTTACCGCTGCAGTTTTGGGGCGATGCGGTCGAATACGCCGCCTATATACTCGATAGGAGTCCGACAAGCGCGAACGCAAAGTGCGCATCGCCTCTTAAGGTGCTCACTCATGCGGTGCAGGACATGCGGGACATCGTGGTGTTTGGATCGACGTGCGACGTACGACGAGACACAGGAAAGAACTCCCTGCAGCGGCGATCCGAGAAGGGCACGATAATTGGCCGCAACGACGATACGAAGGACTACAGCATATGCTTGAGGAAGAGCAACACCGTCATCGCCACGCAGCACGTCCGAAACATCGCGACGCTTACAGTGGAGCAGAACGCGCGACTGTTGCGTGGTATTAGCAGTCCAGTTGACGACGACAGCGTCAATGCAGACACAGACCCGAGAATTACACAAACAAGCGCAGAACAAACGACATTGACATCAGCTGGCAACACAAGAGGTCGCGAGAGTGCGCCTAAACGAAAGGGGAAGTGGCAAAGATATCCTCATGCGACTCGCGGTGAGTTTAAGCGCGCGGGAGTAATCGATTGCTCCCGTAATAGATTTCTTCAGTAATAGATTGATCCCGTAATAGATTGCATCAGCAATAGATTGCTCCCGTGCGCTTAAACGCACCGCGAGTCGCATGAGGATATCTTTGCCACTTCCCCTTTCGTTTAGGCGCACTCTCGCGACCTCTTGTGTTGCCAGCTGATGTCAATGTCGTTTGTTCTGCGCTTGTTTGTGTAATTCTCGGGTCTGTGTCTGCATTGACGCTGTAGTCGTCAACTGGACTGCTAATACCACGCAACAGTCGCGCGTCCTGCTCCTCTGTAATCGTCGCGATGTTTCGGACGAGCAGAGCAGGAGAATTCCCCAGTAAACGCCGACATTGTCAATGTGTTGTTTGAGAAGGACCCCGGCAATTACGGCGAAGCGGTGCGCAGCAACAAGCGCGCAGAATGCCAAACAACAATGAAAGAAGAGATCGAGGCGCTGGAAGAAAATGAAGTCTGGCGCGTCATCAAGCTAATCCCCGGCTCGAATGATTTACACTCGAAATGGGTCAACAAGACCAAGACCGGCGCGGATGGTGAGCTGGAACGACACAAGGCGCGGCTTGTCGCCTGTGGCAACGAGCAGGTTCTCGGGGTCGACTACAATTTGACCTTTGCCGCCGTGATGGACATCTCAACGGTAAAGGTCATTCTAGCACTTGCAGCCACGTGGAGTTGCCGGCCAAGCATGGCGACATCTCCAACGCGTATGTAAAGGCTGAGAAGGAGGCGCACCTGCAGATATGCTTGCATGTACCGCGCGGCATGAGCGTGTCCAACGAAACGCTTCAAATACTCGGTGCTACAAACGCAAACGAAGTCGTACTAGAGCTAAGCAAAAGCCTATACGGACTTAAGCAGGCTGAAAGACTATGGAGCCAGTTGCTTCATGCGCGGCTCGCAGAAGCCGGGCTCCAGAGGTGCATGTCCGACATGTGCCTATCTTGGAAGAGATGTGGTGTTCAGCTGGTCATTGTCGGAGTGTACGTCGACGATTTGCTAGACACTGGCGCGTGCGCAGAGGCAGTCGATATGTTCTTTGAGAGCCTAAAGACGCTGTCGATCGAGGACCTCGAGCGCGTCCACAAGTTCCTCGGTATGCGGGTGGAACTAGACGAAGACGGGGCGCACAAGATTGATCAAGAAGAAGCAATAAAAGATTTACTTCATGCGCACGGCATGTCGGATGCAAATTCGACTAAAATTCCTATCGGCGACGATTGCTACGAGGTGCTACACGCGGACACAGCACGGCTTGACACGACGAGCGCGAGCGGTGGCGCTAAATCAAGGCATTCCAGTCGCTTGTAGGAAGCTTACTCTGGATAGCACGGTGATCGAGGCCGGACATCGCGTTCGCGGTCCATAAGGCCACCAGTCAGACTCACGCTCCGCGGCTCCACGATTGGAAACTTGCGAAGCGCATCGCGAGGTACCTCAAGGGTGTTGCTGGCCTCAAACTTGCGATGGTTCCTGCGCGAAAGATTCGCGACGCACCGGAGCTTCAGACTAACGGCGACGCAGATTTGCGGGAGACAAAGCAGACGGCAAGTCGATGACAGGAGGAGTCGTGCTGTTAAACGGCATGGCGGTGTCATGGTAGGCGCGAAAGTAGGGCTACGTCAGCATCTCGACCAGGGAAGTAGAGTTCGTGGCCGCGTCGGAGATGGATCGTGAATTTGTCGGCTTGCTTGAGATGCTGCGCGAGATCGACATGGCGCCGGTTATTTCCATGATCATGCGCGTGGATAACCAGGCGGCCATCAGCCATATCGATGGAGAAGCCTCGAGCCTAAAGGCCAAGCTCATGACGTGCGGCTCAAGTTCATCAGTGACTTCGCTCGCCGTAAAATTGTGAAGACTCAATACGTCCGCTCGGAGCTCATGCTCGCAGATTTGATGACCAAAGCCATGGATGTGTCAAAGATCGCGACACTGCGCGGCCTAATGCAGCTCGCCAAGGAACGATGAGGCGCAAAAAGGAGAAATTCAAGAGATGGCGTGGGACATGTGCATCGTAACGCACGCATGAGGCGCGAGGACGCTGAACACCGGCAGCACTCACGAGGAGGAGTGTTGGAAAACGACGTGTCGACATATGTTGCTCTTGTGCAAAGCGCGGCTTTCGCCCATGCTTGACGGTGTATAGGGCATAGTGAAAATGGGTGTGACTCGAAATGGGTGGTAGGGAGAAGACATGCGGGCAAGGGCAGCTGAGGACTAACGGGAGCCATAATTTGGAAAAGTAAACTCAGTATCAATACATCTAACTGTCACTCAAGTCTTTTTACTTAATAGTCTTTATTTTAAACCGCTTGCTGACAATAAGGGAAATGAGAACTTGGTAATGTGGGGAACAGTGTCACCAGCCATATTGTGCTTCATTTTTTGTACAAGTAAAAAAAATTCCAACATGACTTGTTTGCCTCTTCAGTTTTCTGCTTCGCTTACAAGCGATAGGGAATTTCACAAACGACTTTCCGCGGGAAATGGTCGAATTGTTTACTAAAGCAGAAAGTTTAGCTAAGACTGTACTGGGTAAACAATATGTTGCCAAACAAGACTGTACAAGATTCGAGGAATTTGCTTTGCAAAAATAAAGTGGTAAGTTCGGATGGTGGATGTTTCATCTGCCAGCTGCTTTCTTGGCAAATTCGAGACTTTCATCAATTTATCGGTAAAGTTACAGTCGCTTTCATGTAATGGGGTGAACCTGGTACATGACATTATCGTTATAATATTCGATGACATGAAATCTTTTATTATATATTTCTCTTGTATAATCACGTGACAACGTGATGTTGTTACAGTGACCCAAAGGTCTGCTCATTATTTGAGACATAGAATGATATCGACACACCAACCGCTGCTAAATGCGCGCAATGGGTGGTGAGTAGTCGTCACAGTACATGTATCCATTCCAATATGAGTTTGCTAGGACCAATCGACAAAGTAAGCCTTAGTCACTTTAGTAGTTGATACAGTTTACTTTTACCACTACTATGATCCATCGTCTTAGTAGTTAGCCTTCCTCGGTACTGTGAACGTGAGGTGATAGGGCACTGACATTTTCTGCTTTCAGTGAGATTTGCTCCATAATGTCCATCAGTACGTGACCGCTAGTGCCCCAATACGGTTTATGCGTGATTTTGTGATGATGAAGTTCTTGCAGAAGTGTCCGATGCAAAATGAGAGTTGGATGGATCAGGTTGTTACCACTGTCTTTGTAGCCTCTACGCTCTTTATTTCGGTCCACTGGCGATGGCAAAACACCGGATACGCGCCTACCGATCACTACATGCCTTCCACGCAGGCGGTTGTAGTCGAATGAGACCGTGGTAGTCAATTTTTCAAAACAGTCAGCGACCAGTCGATTGCGTGACTCCGACTCGATCACGTAATCGATTACTTTTATACGACAGGAAGTCAAGATTGGACCGTCCATCGATGTCGATGCGGTGTTTTTTTCATTCTGCCACAAGGCTTTACCTGAGTGTTTCTTTCACACGAAATCAGTTTACACATGCAATGTAACCAGTTGATCCTGTAAAATCTCAGTAGTAGCTGAACAAACTAAAACGCAGTCTTCACTTATTTCCGGTTGTTTCTAGTTTACAGACGACACGCGATGGATCGATACCGTTACTTCCATCGACTTACTTTCACCACTTCTTACTTCACTCGTTGACCCGATCGCGTCGGCACTGTAACATGGGACCAGCGCCGCCGCCGCCACCGCCGCCTCCCGACGCTGATAGCTCCTCGAGTTCTGCACCGATGTCGTCCGTTCCAACTCCTGCTCCTCCCACTGCTCTCCCTCTACACGCTCCATCTACTACCAACGACCCTGCTTCACCCAGATCGAGCACCAGCACCCACGTCGCAGGCTCGTCGTCAACCGCGAGCCACAGTCCCGCACAGGCGCCGTCCTCGAAGCTTTTGAACCACTTGCCGCTGGACGCTCCCGATGAGCTCGACCGCAAATGGTACGCGCACTTTTACCACATGCAGAAGACCATCCAGGGCAAAGACGAGGCAGCAGCGCTCGCCATCTTGAAGCAGCAGCCGACCGAAGGCGCGACGCCGCTGCCGTTCCAGCCGTACATTGCGCTGCTGTATGCAGTGATTACAGAGCCCTCGCAGTCGAAGCAGCACCTCCGGTACTTGACAGCAGTGGCAGCTGCTGACAACTACAAGAACTGCATGGCCTGGCTCCAGAAGCTCATTGACCTCAAGTTTGTCAAGCTGCTCGTAGCATGTCGCAGTCAATTGCTCTGGCTCGTACGAGAGCTCGTGCACGTGAATGCGCCTGGCGTGGACAAAGTCATCGCGTGTTTGATGCGGTACCTCACGGGCGGAGACCCGAGTCGCACGACCATTTGGCTGGCGTCGTCGATGATTCGCGTGCTAATTGAGCACGAAGCTTGGCTGCTGTCGTGCTCGAGCTTGATTCCATTTGTATTTCACGCGTTTGCGCGGATTTCGCTCGACCACTCGGCTGCGCAACATGCAAGCTTGTTGAAGCAAGAGGTAGAGCTGTGCACGACGTTGTGGAACCGTCGGCAGGCAGATGTGGCACAGCTTGGACGAGAAGTCGTGCGTGTGCTCAGCGACGCAAAGGATGTACGTAGATAGCACAAGTGTAGTTGTGTGTGTGTGTATGGCTGATATGTTCCCTCTGGTTGATGTGTGTGTTGCGTGCAGATTCCAGGGATGAATGCGCTATGGAAACAATTGCGAAATGTGCGGGACACTGCCGAGGCGGAAAGGGATGTCACCGTGTACTCGGTGGCACATTTGATGGCGATCCCGACTCCTCCAAAGTACCTTGCTTACCGACTGAATCCTAAAATGGAGGAATATTTGCTCTTCATGATGGTGCGTTGTTGTCACGTTGACTGAGTCACGTCTGTACAGACGAGCACTTGCTAATCAGCGCATTCGCTTGTATGACACCTCTTGTTTTCAGGAACGTGTTCAAGCTGCTTCTGTGACGCGCTACCAGAAGTGGTTTTCATCACAATTCTTGAGCAGTGCGGGATCGGACGCACTCGTTCCCGACCTTGTGCGATACATTTGCGCTGTCTATCATCCCTCCAACCAGATTTTAAGCTCGAAGGTTACACCGCGATACCATATTCTTGGATGGCTCTACCTGCTCTGGTGCGTACTGCTCACTGTTGGTTGTTGGGTGTGGTAGTGTACGCTCATACGCAGTTGGCGGTTTTTGTGCAACGTGTTGTGTGTAGCCACGGTAGCAAAACTCCGAATTTGTTGGCTCGAGTTCAACTTGCTATGTTTTTCGACTATTTGTACTTCAAACCATCAGACAACGTCATGACTGTAGAGCCTGCAATTTTGCTTATGGTCTGATAACATGCTGGCCCACTTTTCGTTCTAGATTCGACGAGCGATACTGACGTATGTGTGCGTCTGTTCAATTCGTTGTTTCGTGTAGGTGAAGTCGCTCAAGAGCCATCCCATGGTGACGCTCTCGATGATTCAGTTCCTCGTCTTTGCTGTCGAGAAGTACGCTGCCTCAGCTGTCAATCGAAAGCTCATGCAGAAGGGTGTCTCAACTGCATTCTCGACGACATTAAAGCTTGGCGTTGTGCCGTCTATCCTGCCACTCCAGTCTTTTCCGATGCTGCTGTCCAGTGCACCGGAACTGCAGTCAGAGCTTCACCGAATATTCCCGGAGCATTTTCCCACCGCTGAGAATGCAAATATGACTCAAACACAAGGCTCAGCATCTAGTCCGGTATCCACTGTCAGTGGGAGTCCTGCTAGATCCTCTGGTCCCGCGTCGTCTCCTGGCAGACAGTCGCCTATCAAACATTCACCTGCTCGAGAATCGCCCGTCCGAAGCAGTCCAATTGGCGCTGGAAGCCCCTCCGCATCGCCATTGCAATCGCAGAGTCCAATACATTCGGATACAAGCTTGGGTGGCAGCGCGTCCTCTGATGCGAACTCCCTTGGCGCGCTTTCCTTTTTGCCCAGCAATCAAGATACAGTGGAGTCTGCAACAGAGCCGGCTACTCATGGCGTTGGTCTCATGCCGACAGCGCCGGCAGCTGGTATGCCTCATGTGCAACCTGTCGTTGATGTTCCCGAAAGTATCGCCGCACTGGGGCTCAACGACATCAAGCGCTTTCAGGAGACAATGCCCGAGCCGTGTTCATGTCCGTCGGAGAGCTTTCTGGAGTGCCTGAACGACATTTTGATTTTGTGGTCTCGACAAGACAACGCCGTTGAACTCGCCGCCTCGTTGGGGTCGTTCCTGCACGTCTCGTTAGAACGAATGATTGTGACGTCTCGGATTGCAGTGGGTGGGTCATCAGAAGCTACGTCTGCGAGCATCTTCGATTCAATCCTAGACCAGGTGCTCAACGAATCCTCGGAGCTCCATGTGCCATTCTTGAAGGCCATGTATGCACGAGACGTCACGATATCCTATCGCTTGCTTGTCTTCTGCTGCTCACGAGGCAACGGGAAGAGTCCGGACATTGCTCTTGGGCCATACGCTGTATTTGCCGATGCCGTCGGTGACAACTTGGCTCAACGCGTCGTGAAAGACCTGAGTTTGAGTCAGCAGATTGACGATGCGCGGGCGCAGGCACGCGGGTTACTGGACAAGCCCGTGTCTGTCAGTTCGCCCGAGGGCGAGATGGATGCCGTGAGTGCCACTTCGCTTTTCGTGTGCCCATACTTGTTTGCAAATATGGAGCATCCGTTCCTTTCCAAGCTCGAAGGTCGCAGCGAAGCGCTGGTACAGTTGCTCCTCGGGCTCCTGACGCCAGCAATGCTGCACACACTGTGCACTCGCATTGTCATGCGTGAGTTTTCGATCTTCAACAACCGGCTGGCCAACATTGTCCTCTCGTCGTTGCAGTGGACATCGTGGGAGCAATACAGTATGTGGGACCTCGTTGTCGCAGAGCTCCAAGCGGGGCGTTCAGCTGCTGCTGAACGAAACATGATGGCAGCAGCACGAAAGGTGTTAGCGTGTGTGGACCCAAAAGAGACGCCAGAGACGATGACCGGGCTGCTCAAGTGTCTGATCCACTTTCGTCCGGACATCAGCGTCTTACAATGCGTGTTTAACCTCTCGGACACATACGATGCTTTTTCGCTGGCAGTATTGGCTTGCTGGATGGACAAATTCCCTGACGTCGTCACGAGATTCGTCCACAGCTCTCTCGACAGTGCCGACGCGAGCAGCTTTTCCAAGGACACGGCAGTAGCAAACTTGATTGGCAAATTGGACCATCTCCAAGATGCACGCAGTCGCACTGTCCGTCCAAGTGGCATGGAGTCTGAAGTGCTTGCGGTGCTACAGGACGACAACATCGTCTCGACATTGAAGAAGCTGTTGCAGCGTTCAATCGACACGTCGCCAGCAGCTGATGCCTACCCCACATTACGCGCGTTTCTCAAGGACGAACAACCTCGTTACAAGAAGCCGAGGCTTGCCGACGATAATCAAGCGTAATCATAGGCAGTGTGTGTCCACTTCCACGTCGTTTCGACTGGTATAGCCCAGCCGACCCACCGATTGACCCTGTGTCACAAAGCTTTCCCTCTCTTTACTGCCTCTTTCGAACTCCTCCCACACACAGCACACGAGTCCCACTTTGTACCGAATAAGATGGGAATCGCCATGTCGAAAGTGTTTGCAGCGCTGTTCGGCAGCAAAGAGGTGCGTATGTTGATCCTGGGCCTGGACAACGCCGGCAAGACGACCATTCTATGTACGTTTGCAAGCAGGAAAGAGAGAGAGGAGGGACGAGCTGTTGTGTTGATTGGGGGCCTTGACCATCCATTAGACGTGGTGCTAACTATCGGAATGTTTATTGTTATCTTTGTTGTGATGTTATTGTTATTGTAATTGTTATGACTCCAATAGACCGTCTACAGGCCGACGAAATCGAACAGACTGTGCCTACTATCGGCTTTAATATGGAGACATTGCAGTACAAGAATATCAAGTTTCAGGTGTGGGACCTCGGCGGCCAGACGAGCATCCGGCCCTATTGGCGGTGCTATTACCCCAATACAGACGCCATCATTTACGTTGTGGATTCGGCCGATGTCGACCGTCTGGATATTGCAAAGCAGGAGCTGCACGCTATGCTTGAGGTAGGCGGGGGCACACAAATCCATTGTAGTTCGTGTTCGTGTGTTTGCTTGCTACCGTTTGTGTTTCGCTGAGCTCACGTGTTGTTTACTGCGTTCTGTCGATGTGCTGCTGTGTCGTGTAGGAAGAAGAGCTCAAGGACTCGATCTTGCTGGTGTTTGCCAACAAACAGGACCAGAAGGGAGCGTTGAACGCAGCGCAGGTTCGTTGTAGGACCTGGCGAGGTTGAAGCTCGTTTTAGTGCAGTTACTCATGCGATCTTTGTTTGTCGATAGATCTCAGAGGCGATGGGACTTTCCGACATCCGCAATCGTCAATGGTCGATCAAAGAGACCACAGCAACACAAGGTTCTGGTCTATTCGAAGGGTTCGACTGGTAAGCGTATCTCGTCGCTTCGCCCTCATTCGCGTGATGCTGAGGTAACTCACGTGGCGTCTTGTTTATGACCTAGGATCGTGACGTGTATCAAAGGCGAATAGATAGTGTGTCGCGTGCAGCGCTCGTACTGTCCCGCTACTCGATAGTGTGGCCATTGGACGTATCCGAATGAGCAGCTATCAACCTGTCGCGGTCTTCAAGTCATTGGCAGTGCTGTGATGGTGTCTGTTCCTACTTATCGGCAAGCTCAAGACTGTGGTGCGGCCAACGCTTTGCGGCTGAAAAGGATGCATTGTGACAAAGAGATGTGCGCGAGAACGAGCTGAAGAGGAGGACAAAGAAGGATCGAAGCATGTGCTCGGCGAACGAAAGCGGGCAATAACAAGCTGAATGGCTGGCTGGCTACGAACGTAGCATGATAATACAATGGTACTGTACCCACCGACTGCATCTCGTTTGCATTCGTTCTACCTGCGACCAAATTTTGGTGTGGACAACTGGTCGATGGGACCGTCCGGGAAGCGCTCTATTGGTGCAGATTATGATGACGATGACGATAGAGAATTCGCACGGTTTGATGAAGGTCTGCCGGCTCATCGAGGGTTGTGCACCGGTCGCTCAAAAATTGTGCACTCGACGAAATGGAATCACTTTTCGTCCGCGTGCTCGACGTATATTACCACACAGAGGTTTTGCTACCAGTATTCTTACTATTCTAGTATTTGTCATTCACAAAAAGTCAAAAATCGTCGCTGCAAATTTATCAGCCAGATCTTCTTGGCCCGCAGGTTTGTGCGGATTATATTGAGAATATCGAACCATTTGTCCACATTTATGTCGAAAGAAGGAACACGACGCTCGAAGAAAAGAAGACATCACGATCAAATAGTCGTTTTGTACCACAGCTTCAGGTCACACGACCCCTTGTTGAAAAAAGCAGTTTCTAATCGACCGTCTTTTTCTAAATAAACTTGCGTCTGCGACGCTTTGGCCACACGTTCACCCAAAAATCCGAGTAAAACTCTCTCGCCATGTGCGTCATCGACCGACGGGGCGCCTGCGCGTCCCGTGCTTCCTCGACTGACGGCAGATGGTGCCCAGAGTTCCATCCCACCCGTACGGAGTTCCAGTCCTTCGCCACTTACGTCCGCACCGTCGTCGAGCCCCAATGCGCCAGGATTGGCATTTGCAAGGTAAAACCCCAAAGTCAAAAGTCGGAATTTACGAGTGTGTGCGTGTGTGTTTTATACTTTGAGCCACTTTTTGTCCGAAACCTGATCACACCACACTTCCCCTTCCACCTGATGATTAAACCCAAATCGTGGTGACATGATACTCAGGTCATCCCACCTCGTGGCTGGTTCAGCCGCTCGTACGACGTCGCTGAGCTCAAGTGCCAAGTCTCAGCTCCAGTGTGCCAGCACGTAGCGGGCAAGAAGGGCGTGTTCAACGTGGACTTGGTGGAAAAAAGACAATGCGTCCCGCTGAGTTTAAAACAATGACAGAAGCAGCTACGGACAGAGAACCCAATGGTATGAAACGCTATTGATACAGGAGCGATGATAGCAAGTGCGGTATGGCGTGCTTAATTTTGATTGCTGTTGTCAACATGTTTGGGTGGCTGTAGACGCAGAGGATCCGTTGGAAGTGGAAAGGCGATTCTGGAAGGGGCTGCGGGGAACAATGGACCCGCCCGTGTATGGGGCAGATATTGTGGTACGTGCTGTCGTCAGTCGGTACAAACGCTCACTGTTCCCGCTACGCTCCTCTGGACTCGACTGAATGTTTTGTGTTTTGTCTTCTCATACAATTAGGATTCGCTGTTTGGGGACGTCGACGCGCTGTCGTGGAACCTAAACGATCTCAACACGATTCTGCGCAAGATCGACCTCCCTGGCGTCACGCGCGCGATGCTGTACTTTGGCATGTGGAGAGCAATGTTTGCGTTTCACACGGTGTGTTAGTCTCGTGTTTGTCTGTGCGATGAGTGTCGGAGCTTTAGGTGACCACTTTCTTGTGTTGTTCGGATATTGTGCAGGAGGATATGGATCTGTATAGCATCAACTACTTGCACACGGGAAAACCCAAGTTTTGGTATGGTGTTCCTCCTGATTCTGGTAAGTGCGGCCGACGTTGCGTACGTACTGACAGTGACGCAACATTAATGCTTTGATTGTCCGTATCTATGTAGGTCCTCAGCTGGAGAGAGCTGCACAATCGATGTTTCCTGAAAAGCATCACCAGTGCCACCAGGTATGCAGGACCACTGCCGCTTTTTCGATCTCGTGTGGTATGATACTGATGCCTAGTATACCTGAAAATGACACTGGACTAGTTCCTGCGCCACAAGACATCTCTGATCTCGCCTGCCCGACTGAAGGAGTTTGGCGTCCCGTTCTATCGAGCGTATCAAAAGCCAGGCGAATTTGTGATAACGTTTCCGTCTACTTATCACCAGGGGTTCAATCTCGGTACAGTGTTGCTCGATTCGTTTGATGCCGGTCGATCGACAAGGAGTTCTTACGACGTATGGTGCTATCTAAAGGGTACAACATCGCTGAAGCTGTCAATTTTGCGATGCTGCACTGGATTCCGTACGGGTTGAAAGCAAAGGTAGGATATGAGCTTGCATCAGCTACAGCCTTGCGGGCTTGCTTTCTACATCGATGTACTCATCGTCTCTTGCTGTTGTATGCACTTAGGTTTGCAAATGCCTCCCCGACAGCGTAAGGATCGACATGGATTCCTTCCTCACGCAGCTGTTCCAAGAGCCTCAATGCAGTACCGAGCTCTTGGGCGAAGATCCCTGGATCTTCAGCTGCAAGTGTAACAAGTACTGCAGCAGCAGCACTCATCAAGCCGTTGTAGAGGTACGTTTTGTAATCGTGAGCGTTACGAAAATGATCTGAAATAAGCACTGTCCGTCTGCGGTACAGGAACAATGGTTTGAATGCTCGAAATGCAAAATCTGGGCCCACATTCGCTGCATTCATCCTGCTTTGGCTGATGTAGCAGCCAATGACCTTCCCCAGTCGCTGCTGTGCCACCGCTGTCTTGATGAGGAAGCTGGAGGAACGTCACCCGCACCGCCTACCGCCGGAGTCGGGCGCCGAAGTGGCACGGCATCAAAAACCACCATGCGAGGCAGTCTACGTAAGCGAGGCAAAGAAGCTAAGGTCAGCTCCAAGCAAAAACCGGCAAGAGCATTAGCCTCCGTCGCCATGCTGTCACCGCCACGGAAGAACAAAGTCACGTCAAAAGGCAGTCGAGGCGTGAGTCAAGCAGGTGCTTTCACGCCAACGAAAGGCAGTGCCCACAAGTATTTGACGGTCAAGGGCTCAACGATCCGATTCGAAGACACGGAGGTTCGTCGGTATCTTGAGTTGGGTAGTCAGCGTCGAGGCTAATGGAGCATTCTGTGTACCTGCTGCATAGGCAAAAGTTGTGGCCATCCAGGGCAAGTTCATTCGCGTGCACTACAAAGTGAGGAGGTTGAGGTGCAAATCGTTGGCACAGAAAGCTCACGCTTGTACTTGTTTTTCTTACCATCCGACAGGGCGATTCTGTCGACAATGACGAGTGGCTGTCAGTAACTTCGAGAGAGCTGCGACGACGAATCATTGCTGTGGAGCCGCCAGTACCGAGTCGGAAGGCGTGAACATATTTATCCGTTCGCGTAGCTGTAGTAGATCTTGAACATTGCCATCTCTCAGCTGCACCACAAACTTGAAGTCGATAGTGAGTCGGCACCGTCGGCACAGCATCTGCATGTGATGGCGCACGCAAACAAGCGCTGCAAAGATATCTCCATCGGTGAATACGATACAGCAACAGGACTCACGCACATCACGCACCAGCGAGGGCGACTGCTGTTCAACATGGGGGCCAGCGTCAAGAAACAACAGCGTCGGGAGCCCAACGTCACGGTCCCATCAGCAGCTTCAAGCCCGAAAGGCAAAAGCTCTGGACCACCACACGCCACCGGCACGTTCACTGGTCTGTCATTGTATCCAGAGGAAGCCAACTACCTGCTCCAGCGAGGGGCATTGGCGATCTATGGGACGTCATCGGACGACAACGACACCAAAGCATTGAGCGTTGCCGACTTTGCAGCACTGGTGGCCAGAGATACCAGCGTCTCACTTGCGTGCTTGGAAGTATACGCGTTCCTGAAAGACCAGAAGCTGCACCCCCGACGCTGCCTCGAACCTGCTGCAGCAGCTTCAGCAACGGCTGTGGGCAGTCGTCAAGACGGGCGGCGCGTACCCCACCATGTCGAAGAGAGCACTGGATCCTGTGACGTGGCGTTCGACGTCTGGAAAACAGCGGCAGTCCCGATCCCCCCACGTGCTGACACGAGTGCAGAGCACGCGACAGAGCCGTCTGCACCAGCACCGGCAGCGAAACTACGCAAGCAGAGAAAGGAACTGGTGCTGGTCTTCCGCGTGGCCGTGTGTCGCTATTGGGACAGCGCTCCCCGTCCGCAGCGCCTCCGGCTGATCCTGCAGCGCAGCAACGCTCGCGATGGCGCGTCGAGCAGTTGCAGGTCAACACTGACGCGCGACCACGTGCCCGTGAAAGTGGCCGTCGTTCACCACGACCGGAGCGTGCTGCTCTTTGAAATCAGTGCGACTTGACGGTCGGACGGCGACGGAGGAAGTGTCCCGCGCCACGCGAGACGAGTGGGGGGCAACAATGGGGACACGTACGTGTGCAGCAGCAATGAGGACGACAGACGGGTGACAGGCCGACGACCGACGAACATGAGAGGGTGAACTCGTTTTTAATAATAATAATAATAAGGGAGCGCTCTTCTCCAGAGATGACCGTTGCAGCCACCGCACCGCAGAGCTGGTGGCAGGCGAGAGGAAGAGTCGAGAGGCGGGCGGCTCGAAACACACAGAGGCTACGCTACGGACGGACGGACAAACGGGACGGCGCTCTGCGAGGAAGCTGCAGCACTTGTGACCACCACGACATCGCCCTGCCCAGTTCAAGCCTGCTCGCTCGGGGCAAAGTAGCTCGACAGAAACTTCTCCGGGTCCAGCACAAAGTCCTCGTCGTCCAGACACAAGTCGGCGGCAAAGTTCTCGCAGTCGAGCGCCGTCGGGTCGCTCTCCGGGATGCAGCACTCGGCGCCTGCCACGTCCATTGCACCGTCCGTCAACACGTCGCCGCTCACTGACGCGCTCTCGGTGCTCGTTGTCGAGAACCACTCGAGCTCTTCCTCGGTCAACTGCAGCAGATCGTCATTGTCAATCGACGCGAGCGTCTGGTCCACGCAGTCGAGCGAGTAGTCGGCCAGCACTTTGTCCTCGGCAAAGTCCAAGATCATGGCCTCTGCTGCCGCGTCGGCAAAGTCCAGTGGCAGCTGGTGCGCCGCCTGCATCCCCGCGTGGCTCTTGGAGCTGCGACCAAACACGAACCGCGCGTCCATGGAATGATGGCCGCCGAGCAGCATCTTGGCGCCCGAGAGCGACGACAGCTGCTTCTGCTTGGGCGACATGTGCGCCGCCAGCGGCAGCTCGCGGGCGAGACGCTTCGGCACACTCGGCAGCACCAGTGCGTCGCTGTCCGTGTCCATGTCCAGCAACGAGCACTTGCGCTTGCGCATCAAGTGCATCTTTTTCTTCTGCGCCGTGGGACTGGACGGCGGCGCCAGCAGCAGCGACGGCAGCGACGGCGACGTCGCAGCAGCGCCCGTGGCACCAGTAGCAGTAGTCGTCGTCGCCGCAGCGAGTGCCGCCCGGTCCTGTGCCTGGCGCTCCTTGAGCCGCGCCTCCTCCTTCTCGAGCTTCTGGTAGTACTTTTGCGCGTGCGTGCGGATCTGCACGACCGTCCGCGTCTTGATCAGCGTCGCAATCTTCTTCCACGCGCGGTAGGGAAAGGTCTCGAGGCCCTGCAGGAACAGCTGGTGCTCGGCTTCGGTCCAGCGGCCCGTATTGCTCTTGACCGACGACGACGACGTGGCCGCAGCAGACGCCGCCGATGAGGCACTGGCGGCCGCTGCTCGGCCGCTGTCGTCCGTCTCGTCGTCGAGCTCGTCGTCCGACGCGTCGTCGCTCGAGGCCGACGACGACGGAATGCACGCGCGGTGGCTGGCGAACGCAGCCACGGGGAGCGACTGCAACTTGGCGGCCGTGGGGCTGGTCGAGGCCACGGACGCCGATGCCGCAGCGGCGCCTGCCGCAGCGCCTGCTGCGGCCGCAAGTTTGGCCGCGGGGTCGCGGGGGGAGACGGTGGCGGCCGTGAACATGGACGCGTCGTGGCCGAGGGGCGTCATGGGCGCGTTGGCTGTGCACGAGAGGAGGAAGGCGTCTTCCACGTGCTGCAGTGACAGGAGCTTGGGGTGCGCCCGCACGCTCTTGAGGACAGCGGTCGAGGCCATGGGCGCGAGAGGATCGATCGGGTCCAGTGAGCGGGGGACAAGAGGGGGAGTGGGGAGTGAGTGAGTGAGTGAGTGGGCGGGCGGGCGACCGCAATGACGAGGCACGCGGCGGGCGAGAGTGACGGTCGTGCGCACAGACGCGACGACGAACGGGCGACAAAGATCGCAGACCCGCGGGATGGGAGGGCGCCACAGAGGAGGGACGACGACGACGACACAAACAACAACGACAGAGGGGACGACGACGACGACGACGACGGGTTGCGCAGTGGGTCGTCGAGCGGGCGGCGAACGGAACGAACAACGACGCACAGTGCACTTGCCCAGCTGCAGGGAAAAGCGGAAATGACCGAAGAGCCTGTGGCTTAGCTTTCCGTTTGCGAGAGCGCCTTTGGCCTCCGCCTCGCGCGCTTCGACCGAGTTGCTTGAAGCTTTCGACCAATGGCAGCGCGCGAGCGTTCTTCTGGGTTTGCGCGGCACGGGACCCGCTCGCGGTGCACGTCGACATACGTAGCGCCTGTCGTGTGATAGGGCTCGCAGTGGCGGGTTTGCGACCCGCGGACCCACCCGCTGTGCCAGAAACGCGGTTCCCCCCCCCCGCCATGGCTTGCGTCGGGCCGGTCAACAGGCTCCTCACTGGCTGAGTGTTTCAGACGTGGTGAGCGCTGGGAAGCGCACGGGTCACGGTCGCCCCAGCGTCTGTTGCAGGAGCAGTAGCCGTAGCAGAGACTGCCCGACGGGAGGGGGGGCGACTCGCCGCCGTCGCAGCCCTGTACACGGGACGTGGATAGCCTCGCCCCATCTGCTGTCTGGCGTGTGGGCCAGGCATTTGCGCAGGCAGATTTACGCGGTACACGGCCGGGCCATCCGGTTCGTGGAAAGTTCTGTTTGCCAGGCCAAATAAATCAGCTCGAGTGCGTTGTGATTGGTCGAAAACAAGCGCAAGCGACCCCCCTTGCTTGGGACAACCGGTCGGTAATCGCCCGCCTGCGTAGTTGCGTTCGCCCAGCAGCGAGCAGTGCAATCGCGACGATTGGGCTCGTTGAGGAGTGCGCAGCGCCAGCTCACAGTTGCAACATAGGGCCGCCGGCCGCCTTTTTACTCGCGCGACCGCTCGTGCCGTCTGAAGGACGTCCGTGTCGGCACAAGACTGTTCTGTTGCACTCGAAAGGGCACCCGATGGGGACCTAAACGTCGGCAGGTGCACGAGCAATACGTGCGACGTCGAGCCAACGCAATGAACGTGGCGCGTCTAGCCATCCTCTAGTCCATCTGCTGCCCCCTCTTTGCCTTCTTTTGATCCTAGTGGCAATACGGGCCACAACGTCGATTCTTTTTCGTGCACGTTGTTGTTGTTGTTCTTGTTGTTGTTGCAGTGGTGCTCGGATATGACGTTGTCCCAGCGACGCTGTGACTCGGCAAAGAGGGGCAGTTGCAGGGGCAGTTAGGCCCCATCGTTGTGCTAATCTCGCGCCAGTCTCCTGCGTCCACAACGACGACAGCTGAGGGCGGAAGAAGAGACCTCAGGCAGGAAGTACCGAGCACGCGGCTCGGCGCGCAGTGGTCGGCGTCGCGGCCGTGCGGCTGTGGCGTCGGAAGAGGTATTGGCGCGGGCAAAAAGATACTTTTTTGCGTTACAGGTCGCCCCGTCAGGTACCGCTGGCGGTTCGAAAGAAAGAGCGACGAACGCGACGGAGCAGATGGGGCTGCTTGAATCTCGTCGTGGCACGCAGCTAGGACCGTTCCGTGCAAGCACAGCCGCAGTCCAAGAGTCGAGCAGACGACGACGGCTTGCTACGACCGACAAGGCAGGGAGGCCGAGACGTGATGATGCTGGACGCGGCGGTTGCTACTGCTCTGGCTGGATGTGCGCGATGTCCCACGGACCTAGAATCTCGCTGCAAGAAAGAAACACACGCACAGTTGAACGACGTCAGTCAAACGGGCATCGAGCGTCCACGCAGCTGCTGCTCGATGGACCCGCAGCAGCACTCGCGCAGCTACGTACTTCTTGGACTCCTGCACGTGCATGAACCAGAGCGGACAGCCGAAGGCCAAGAAGGACACAAAGGCGCCTGACAATACGCTCAGGAGCCCTGAGAGCTGCCAGGTCAGCGCCGACGACAGTGCGAACAGCACGACCGCCGTTATGATGTGCAGCCTTTCCGAGTGGCGCTAGGTCCTCGCCGCATGTCGAACAGGGACAAGCAGAGTGAGGCTGGCGCGATTGACGCGCACACAGGCAACTGCAGAGCTTCTGCCGCCTGACAACGCACCTTGATCTCGCGCTGGAAGATCGGAAACATGGCGAATATTTCGATGGCCAGCAGCACGAACGCAAACACGTGCTCGTTCGACTGGAGCCGCGAGCCGAGCAGCACGGCCGTGAAGATAGCGGCGTTCAGTGAGATCGTCCCGCTGAAGCTGCCATGCAGTATGCACAGACGCAGCACTCGTCACCCTCCGCCTCTGGATCGTCTATGCAATGGACTGCTTACCGACCAATGCCCGAGTTGACATAGTTGTAGTCGTGCGTGACGAGGTGCAACAGGCCTAACGACGTCGCCAGCGCCCAGATCGTGTCATTTGCATATGACTTTGTGAGCGTCCGTAGTACTGGCGACAGGAGCGACAGTGTGGCACAGAAGAGAAGACAGGACTTCAGCGTGTCCACCGTGTCTGTCTCGCGTTCAGCAGTGCACGAGTGGCTGTTAGCGATATGCTGTGAGCCGTTCGTCCGTCCGTCTGTCAACGAGTGTACTTACGCAGAGGCAGCACGAGGCAAACACGAAGCACGGCGAAGCCAGCGACCGCCAAGAACACGTCGATGGCGCCCAGCAGGACGGCCGAGACTGCATCTTGGCGAACGAATTCAAACACGGACTGCCGCCGCAACCGCCCAGCAACCTCGAGGTTAGTCACGCACCATCGGTTTGTCCTCTCTTGCTATGGACGAGTCGGCACGTACGAAGAAAATCAAGAGAGCGCAGATCTGCTGTGTGATGGCCGCGGCCGAGCGGACCATCCCTCCGTAGTCGTGCTCACGTGCATTGGCTGTACGTTCGTCCAGGAGGATCTACCGTCAGCAACTACGGCATCTACGAGGTCCTGTGTGGAGAAAAGGAGTCGGCGTACCGTTCGTCCGCATCTGCTCCAGGAACGTCTCGTCCACGTAGTTGTCTTCGTATGGCTGGGGCGCATAGAGGATCTTGCTCCATGCAGGCTGCACAAGCAAAAGCGTGAGCTTCAGGTCGTGCGTGCGCTATGGAAGACAAGCGGCGTACGCACTTTGGCGGGGGCCATTGAGTCTGGCAATTGACACGTTGTGGCTGTGCTTCGCACTACCATCGGGTGGGAAGATATGCAGCTGTGCAGTCAATAGCGGATTTGTAGCAAAGAGAGTATGAGGGAATAGTCCACGATACAAAGAGAGAGAGACAGAGAGAGCGACTTCACGACGACCGCTCTTGACAAAGCCGCATGTGCGAGATGGCTAAGACCCTCCGAGCCTGAAAAGAAGCGCCGGATCCATTTTTGCTTATCGTGGCACAGCTCTGCAGAACCGAGAGCTTCTTGGGTCCGAGAAAGTATACATAGGTCGAACCAAGCGCGTAATCGATCCCCTTCGGCGGTCATGACGGGCGTCTGATGTTCGCGTCCAGCCGAAGCTGTTCGTCGACGGATTTTGTGCTCCTGCAGCCGGGTGAAGTGTTTTGAGAAGCAGTGGTGGGCACTTGTCGAAACACGTAGTCGTTCTACTTGCTTCGCAGGCGGACTGGACACTGCGATGAGTTGAACGCTGCATGCATGTTCCAGACCTTTTTTCCCTGCCTCGACATCGTCTTGGCAACCATGAAGCAGTACATGCCTCTGCTGTGGCAGTGGTACCAAAGAGCTTGACGTCTACTTGCACAGCTGAAAAAACGGCGAGTACGTTCCACATGCGCCACTTTTACGCTAGTCCGATGATCGACGAATTCGCGATAACCCGCGCGTGCCTTCAGACAGGAGTTCAACAAGACAAGACGAAAGCTGGAAGCTACTCGATACCGTGACACGTCGGCATCGCACGACATCTATCGTCGTTCGGACGACCCGCATCGACAAGGCCGCGTTGCATGGTGGTCACTCTGTAGCACGCCCACACTTGATCTCTTCCGCAAGACCATTGGCATGACCTTAAACTTGAGACAGCCAGCCGGTAACGAGCTGCTGCCGGATGCCATCGTCCGGTCCAGGGAAGGCCATCAAGTCGCTGCAACGGCGGGTTTAGTGCAAAAGCAAGCGGTCGTGGACTCGCCCTCCCGCAAGCCCCCCCCACCTCCTGTGGCCTCTTCTCGTCTCAACAGTGCGATCTCATCGCACCGTGGACCGATCAAAGTCGAACCGGAACAGCGGCGCGTGCGGGAGAGCCTCTTTGGGCCCAAGTGCTCATTTAGTCCCAATGACATAAGTTGGAGACGCCAGCAAGAAGGCCGTTGCCCACCGCCGCGATTTGAACTGAGTGCTGAAGACGAACTCGGTCGTCCCATCCTACAGATGCGCACTTTCGATATGGAGCAAGCAATTATGCTGTCCATTTTGGAGCAATGCAGCTGTCGTCTCCAGTTGTACCGTACCCACGGGGTATGGCTCCAGCCATGTGTTTTCCACATTGATAAATCGCTAGCAAGCGGGGGGGGGGGGGGCTCGGGAGACAAACGCATCTGGTGGTGGTGTCAAGTACGTCCATTATTATGATAACTAACGACTGATAAGTGTGACAAGAAGTACGGCCCGGGTATCGGGTCGACAACTAAAGGGCTCCGTAGAGCCAGGGGCGACGGCAACGAGGTCAGAGACCCTCCTACCGAAGCCAACTACGAGTCAATCATGACCGCTGGCGCGACCAAGTAGACTGGGGACATGCGTACCGCCGGAGCGGCAGCACGTACAACGCGGGTATGCTGCCATATAAGGCAACAAACCCCTTTAGGACCGCTTGCGCGGCCCCCGACGTGGAGTGCGAACACCGAAGTGACTGCGTGGCGTGGAGAACGCCAACCCGCCATATATCTCTCCGAGGAGCTCAACCATCTGCGATGGTGGCCCCCTTCAGCCGCTTGCGCGGCCCCCGACGTGGAGTGCTATCACCGAAGTGACTGCGTGGCGTGGAGAACGCCAACCCGCCGTATATCTCTCCGAGGAGCTCAACCATCTGCGATGGTGGCTCCCTTCAGCCGCTTGCGCGGCCCCCGACGTGGAGTGCGATCACCGAAGTGACTGCGTGGCGTGGAGAACGCCAACCCGCCGTATATCTCTCCGAGGAGCTCAACCATCTGCGATGGTGGCTCCCTTCAGCCGCTTGCGCGGCCCCCGACGTGGAGTGCGATCACCGAAGTGACTGCGTGGCGTGGAGAACGCCAACCCGCCATATATCTCTCCGAGGAGCTCAACCATCTGCGATGGTGGCTCCCTTCAGCCGCTTGCGCGGCCCCCGACGTGGAGTGCGATCACCGAAGTGACTGCGTGGCGTGGAGAACGCCAACCCGCCGTATATCTCTCCAAGGAGCTCAACCATCTGCGATGGTGGCTCCCTTCAGCCGCTTGCGCGGCCCCCGACGTGGAGTGCGATCACCGAAGTGACTGCGTGGCGTGGAGAACGCCAACCCGCCGTATATCTCTCCGAGGAGCTCAACCATCTGCGATGGTGGCTCCCTTCAGCCGCTTGCGCGGCCCCCGACGTGGAGTGCTATCACCGAAGTGACTGCGTGGTGTGGAGAACGCCAACCCGCCATATATCTCTCCGAAAAGCTCAACCATCTGCGATGGTGGCTCCCTTCAGCCGCTTGCGCGGCCCCCGATGTAACGGGGCACACCCTTGCGTAACTTAACGCAAGGGATTTGGGTGCCCCGACGGACGTACACGTGGCGAGCGAGGAAGCGTAGGTAGGGTAAAAGTAGAACTGTTATATTAATAAATTAAGT